AGCATGATAAGAACATCAAACGTTGCCTAAATTGATAAGGATTATCAACGTGCATAAGGAAAGCATGAATTATAACAGCACAGCGAAACTGATTAATTATCACATAAAACTAATATACTCTAGAAAATCTCCTTTCAGAGAATTGAATCTGAAGTTTTCATGCAACATCTGGAAAAAATCGAAAATTTTACCGGGGCTTTTACTGTGATAAATGTGCTCCCAAGTCAAGATTTTCGGATGGCTACAAGCAAACATATTGGGAGGACAGAACTTAGCAAATAAAAATCAGTACTTTCGATTCTTCAGAAGAAATCACAGCGGGGATTATGGATACTACAAATTTTCAGGTTTTGATTTTTTGCTGGCTCTTAAAACGCTATCGCTAATTACTGTTTCCCGGTGTTTAGCGCGGATTGAATTACTGTATCTACTAGTGATCATCAAGATATTTCTTCGCGGTGTAAATAATCATCAAGATATTTCTTCGTAGTGTAATAGTTTTATAAGCTTAAATTGAATTCTCATTCAAGTTCAAGTAATCCATCGTTCCACAAAGCCCATACAGTACTGCTCATATTTCGTCGAAAAAGTCGCCAAACTCCGCTGGAGTTCACCGAAACTGCGCCGCATCTTGAATGTGGACAAATTTCAAATACAAAGAAATCGTTCGTCTTAGCTCGGCGAGGCGCATCTTCTGATGTAGGGCCCATTTGAATACGGTAGGCGATCAGATTTCATAGATTCTTATCTACGGTAGGTTACACAATGTGCAGTGAGTAAGCACACTTATCAATCTACCGTAAGCAAAAAGCCGAAAAGGTTTGCTGAAACTTGAGCATCTACCATGTACCTACCGTATCCAAACGGGCAATGCTATATACCAGAATGTGCGCCGCTGGGATAAATCAAACGGCAAAACTTTCGATTCAACCAAAATAAATTTTAAATTTTACAATCCCAAGTGAAATCACTTGACTGACATTTTGAGTTGAATTTACTTCCTTTACCCCAGTAAACATCTTCTAAGCGGATGTTTTGAAATATGTCGCGTGTCCTGACGTAGATGTTACAATATTCGTTACCATTGTAACTTTAGCTATAGATAGATAGTGATGAAATTTTGAAAAACAAGTGACATTTTAATTTGAATTGAAAACCTCTTGAAAATGTGAGAATTCGAATAACATTCAGATGTTTTCGTTATCACCTGACTTTAACTATAGATAGGCAGTGACCGGAAGTGAAATTTGAAAACAAGTGAAAATTTAATTGGAGTTAAAACGGCGTATGAGGATTAGATGTAACATTGCGTTAACTTGATGACGTTAAGTGCATTTTTACAGTGTCGTACGTGGGGTCAATTACGTAACGTTAAGACGACGTCAGAATGTTATAATCAAATTATGCCCTCCGAGTTCAAATTTCGTCAAGAAAGTATAAAAGTTGACCTTATGGGTCAGAGTACCCACATCTGAAAGGTCATTTTGTGATGGCTATGGTGGGTACGGTAAAAGTGATCTCTGGTAAAGAAGTAAATAAAGTTCTAGAAATTCTATTTCAGCCCATCATGATCTCGAATTGTTTGAAATTGTAAGTAGTTATTCCAACACCAAACAGAAATTTCTATGGTTCCTGCTGTTGTGTAAAAACTTGGGAAATGGAAAGACAAATAGAGAAAGTATCCAAATTACTCGAAGCAGGCTGCTATGAAAATAGCATCAAGAACTAGATGTTTGATTGTTTGTTTTTTTAAAAGCTGAAGCTGGAAAGTCAACGAATAAAGTTGTCTCTTTGTTCTACTAGCAAATATAAAATAAAGGAATGAGTTCGATGCAAGAGCTGGTTTGAGCAGTTTATACAAACTTTTGCGCTATAGCACATTGTTTTCTTATCTTATTTTATCCTAACAATTTTTTTGAATTAGCTGTGTAAGATATTAGTCCATATTTCATTGGCGTTTTGATCACATAATTTTTTTGCAATGATTTTAAAAAAATCAAGCTTCTATGTCATTTCTATACGATGCACAAGAGAAAAAAATTGAAAATTTTGAAACCATTTAGGTATTTTGCTCTCATTATTGGAAAGCTTTAGGCAATAACTGCCGCCATAGGAAATACAGCACTCAAATACATTTCAAAAAAATTATAGAAGAGAAAATGCACAAGGAAGGTTAAAATTTCAAAGAAAAAGGATATTTGAGAATATTTACGAAACTACCGTAGAGTTGCTGATCTTGCGTGCGTTTGCGACATCGGTCATGCCGTGGGAGAGCATTTTATTCTTTTCCTATGGAATCGAGAAATCGAGAAATTTAAAAACCAAAAAATGTAAAAAAAAAGATTCCCCTCTTCTTGATGTTTTTGAACGAGATGAGAAAATATTTATTAATTTACAAAACCAACGAGGCCAAGAAGAATCAACTTTTTTCTTTTTTCAACCTTTTACAAGCCAACAATGGCTAGAATCGGCTATAATTTTCAAGCATCAGCTATTTTCCGCCAATTTCCAGTTAAACATGTTCTGGGTGCTAATAATGAAAGCATGTCGAGCGTAAGTTGTTTCTTTCAGTGAATCGCACATCCTTCCTTCCACCACCCCCCCCCCTTCCCCTCACCTCGCGCCCAATGTTTGTTTTACTGCTTATAGAGACGATTCCATTTAAAGTAGCCGAACGCTTTGACCTAATTGACATTGCGTGGGAGCCTGATCGAGGACAAAATAGCCAAAACTAGTCATATTCATAGGATCGCCGGCTGAGGTTAGGCTGGTCAGATCTTTTCTTTTGTGTGTACGTAAGAGTGCGTAGATAACCAGTTCCGATTCAAGCTACACTTTCGCTCCGCTTATGGAAAGTGTAGTTTTTTGCTGTTTCACGCAAATCCTTCATTTATATCCGCCAGTTCCAATTTTGTCCAAAGGCTATTTAGACAACCGTAAAAAACTTTTTGTAGTGGAAATAGCCGATTTATTTTTTTCTTAAAGTGAAAAAAATTAGTGCGGTCACATGCGAGTATCCACAATTACATTCTCAGACTAAAAAAAAGTGCGTGGGCTCATTCAGAACCAATCTTGACGCTATGTGACCCTCAAAACAAGTGTGGCAGTAAATGGAAAAAAAGTTTCGTAGGTGGAAATTCAGCTGACATAATAATTGAAAAATTCCATTGGTCTCACGAAAAATAATTGAAGTGCATATTTCGCAAGTATAATTGAAAATTTGAGGCCATGCAGAACCAAGGAATTTTTAGAACCGTTTTCCTATGGGGACCTTTGAATTACAATTTTCGATTTTCTTGGCAGCTTCTTTAATGCTAAATAATGATAGGGTTCGAGCAGAATCGATTTTTTGTTGATTTCATACATTAAACTGATTTTTTTCAGATTCCTACTTTTTCGAATCGCAGCATTTTTGAGAATTCTTCTCGACGTTCAAAAAACATTTTAAAATTCTATTTGACTTCGTACCTATGATTTTGTAGGTCATTCAGCTATGCCGTCAAAATCCTTTAGAAATCCGCTGTTTGATGAAAAATAGATTGATGGCGTGGGAAACCATAGGACAAAGGTCTTTTTCCTTTACCTGCCAAAAAATTTACTCAAATCCCTTTCTTGTGAAGATTGCGCTAGTTGCTAGTTACTTCTGACTCGGTGCAAAATTTCGAAAGCATTTTGATTGCAAATTTTATGAATTTCAAGCTGAACCAGTCTCCGCAAAAGCGATCATATTTTTCTCGCCATAAATAAAATTTATGCTTCATGCAATTCTAACCTGCTCTTAAATGACGAAACTTATAGCCAAGGATAATTAGGCGGGTTTCTTGAGACATACGGGGATCCACGTGACCAAATTAGCTCTAATTATATGTATGAACACTTCCTTCTTTGGAAGATATGTAGGACAGAGGGAAATAGCGCAAGAAATTGAAGGTCAATGCTAAAAGCATTAGGCTTATGGACTAGACGAACTTAGATTTGGAGGCTTGGGAAAAAAGTATGTTGTAGTAAGATTATTAGGAAATAGGGCCATAAGGACATCATAAATTTTTTTCGAAAAATTTGCCAATATTTTGCTAAATCTCATCACTAAAGACCTGCGAAATTAACGTCTTCCCACTTAAAAATCTTTTCAGAAAAAATCAAAATAATTTTGTCACTCAAGATTTATTAGACTAGCGAACCGGTAATCTGAAGGTGCTATTTGGAAGAGCGTTCGCTTCGGGACCGCCGCGGTTTCCGCTGTTTGAAGATTTTTGAATTGAACTAACGTTCTTTATATATTAGACGATTACAAAGTCCCAAAGATTCAGAAGCTTTCAGGGAGGAAATCAAGAGTTTCTAAATTTTTGAAAAGAAACTCGAAAAATCGGAAAAGGAGCTGAGAAATTCTAAGATTGAAGGCCTTATTTGGACATTATTCTAAAGAACATCTTAATAAAAATTTCCTCTTTACCAAATCGCTGAAACAGGAGTAGAATCATATTTTCTTACCAGCTTTCATTTGCTTTTAAAATTTCACAACTTCTAATTTTAAATTACCGTAAGGCGATTGTAATCTAATGGACCATAACAAAACCTAGACAGAATTGTGTTTTGTTCTAATTACGTCAATTTGTTTCAAAATAACAGGCTTAGGCGGAAGTTCACCACCTCCCCCCCCCCCCCCCCGCACACGACCGGGTTGTGGGTGTTAACCACAGTTACCACAGTACGCACATCGAAACAATAACAAACATGATCGTTTTCGTTGTGTGACGAAACCGCCAACGTCTTGCGCCTTAGAAAAAAAAGCCCTTCCCCTCCCTCCCCCTCACCCCCTCCTCACCCGCGCTCCTTACTCGTATCATGTCCACACGTGACACACCCCAAAAGGAGCTCGATGTCCTTTTTTCGGAGGACATGCGCACCTTGCGAGCAACAACGGGGACGACCCGGCCCCCGCCACGCCCCCTTCTAGATTTTTACTCTGTATATAAATGCCGAGCCTAGCTGCTTAGGACACAACACATCTCAACTTCTCATCTCATCTCTTCAGATAGATCACAATGCTACTTAAGAGCTTAACGCTAGTACTTCTTTGCTCAACTTGTCTACTTGCCCAGAGCGAGTCCCAGCGTACCCGGTAGGTCAAAAAACCGGTTAGATTTCATTACTGCTGGGTTAACTATTCTCTTTTATAGCTGCTGGAGCTCAGGCAATGGTCAAAGCGCACGATGGTGGGACGAAGGACAAAAAATAGTTAGAGGTAAGCCTTCAAGAAATTTATAATCCTAATCCATTGGGGGAGGGGGGGGGGGGAGGGAGTAATCTATTCCGAAGTTTATTCCCTGGTCAATCTATTGTATACTGAAGTTCTTAATCCTGTAATATAACTACGAGGCTTGAATATCGTAGATTCTTTTGAATTAAATGATTAGGACATGCAGGCACTTTATTTAGATTTTTTAAATAATGCTCTAAATGCTTTTTTTATCCTCCAAATCAGAAAATTCCCATAAAGTCTCGCTCTCTCTCTATTTCCATTTTGACAGTCTAAATTACTAGCGGCTAGAAAAACTACTCTAAACATCGTGTAAAGCACTCACGTGCCTGACCCCCTAAATGCATTAATTCAATCAAGTCAATTGGGATTTTTTCCATATATTTACTGTAAAGTGAAACGAGTTTTTGGTGGGAACAGAGAGTATAGATAAAGGTTATCAGTGAGACTGGAACCGCATTTTGAGAAACTTGTAGTTACATCAGAGAACAAAGACCAGGAACATTGTGGGGGCTATATTATACAAGTACAGTAAAGTAGAGTAGAATATTGCAGTAAAGCACCGCACCTTCAGCTTCCAATTTAAATCGCCTCAGACGGTGTCGCGCTCTACCGCCAATATACTGCTCCAATTCAAATTCGGATTTTTCACAGGATTTTCATTCATATAAGGGCGACTACATGATTATCACCTTACCAAACCCCTATATCTCAGATTACGATAGTTTCTAAATTATTCTTTCTTTTTAGGCCGATACTTTTACGAATGCCGAGCTGGTCAACTTGAACCCCGTGGTTGTGTTAGCGAATCGAATCGTCAGCTACCAATCGGCTCCACGATCGAATCCGGCGGTTACGTAGCCCGTTGTGAATTGGGTAAGTACCCATCTTAACCATTACACCACCCATTACCCAGTCTACCTTTTATGGAGCCAGTAACTCATCCCCGGTCACACGCGCTGACAGCCTTTTATAGCCAACGGAAGTGTAAAACGAGCTTAACGAGCCTATTTTAGGATCCGACGGCTATCTACAGTTCCGATACGTTGCCTGTGTTGGAGACGATGGTAGACATTACAAAGTTGGAGAATCATGGACAGATGCTCAGGTTTGTCAAAGTTCTGATCATTATCGGACGAAAAAATTTTGATAAATTGCATTTGCACCGTTTTTAGATCTTTTTTATAGATAGTTTTCACTGAAGAAGGCAAAAAATGATTTTCAAAGACACATTTATCGAAAAAATTACTCTTTGCAAGTTAAAAAAAGTAGTGAAACAATCTAAGAACCGTTCTGGTCTATCTTTATCACTGAGACTAGACTTCCCTGTTTTTTTGCCACTACCCCACCCTATCAGCTACTTACCTACACCCTGATATGACCTTGATTTTCTGAATGAATCAAATATTGAGATCATTTGTCTTCGTAAAGTTTTATTGGCTATTTTTTGATGGACAATCTAAAGTGCAGCATGAGCGATGTGAAGACAAATTGCTTAGATTGCAGAAGCAGGAAAAAGAAATTTCATCGAAATGAAAAGTTATCTTATAACTTCACAGTTTACTGGCAAAAGCTATAAATAGGAAAAATTTGTGATATTCTCACTTTTCTAGTGATTTTTGAAATCTATACAGACACTAGTTATTTTGCAAATCATGGAAACAATCCGCGTGGGACCTATCGCGTCTGATCCGCGCGGGACCCGACGTATCAATCCGCGTGGGACCTTGCATTATAATCCAACGTCTTTTTCTCACCTAGCGTGCTTTCAATAATTCATTTTGAAGTTGTAATGACTTTTAAGGCAATAAATTACGGTATTTTTCCAAAAGTTCCACGCGCACGTCTCGGCACACTTTTGACTTCATCTATCCTCTTTTTCTCTCCACCACTGGCGCCAGCCAGGCGAAAGTTCTTGAAAAGTTCACTTCGTGAAATACTACTCGGATAGCCGTGACGATTGAATTACTTTTTTGCCCTATCAAATGACACAAAATCGTCAGCACTATCATGGGACAGGCGGAAAACCGCAAAAGGCTGGCTACAAATCAGCGCAAAAATGGCTAAGTGCCATGAACTTCCGATTTGGGGACAGATAACCAGCTGAAAAGTGCCCTAAGAAGCGTCTTTGACAAGTTAGGAAGTGAATTTGCAAGTTGAAAATGACCTTGAATGGAGTCGGTCACTTTGCACACAAATTGAACTTTTGCGCACTTATGTGGACAAAACTTTCTTGCGCAAACGAACCAGTTTGCACACTTTTTTGCCTTCCCTAGTGGGAACAGAGCTACATGGAAATTATATCCCCACTTAGCATCCAAGCATGAATGAATTATGATTTTTTAGAACATCTATTACTACGAATGTGTCCCAGACGGTCCTTATGTGAAAGCAAAGCCTAAGGGATGCATTTCGCACAACAAGCAAAAGCGAATTCCCATTGGTCAACGTGATGATTATGGAGATTATACGTAAGTTTTCAAAATTTAGCAAAATAAAAAATTTCCTTCAAGTAAGATAAAAAATCTTCGATTCTGCAAGTTTGAAGCTTCTGCCGTAGGCGCGCGCAACTAATCAATATCCGATTTGTGATGTAGTCCGCAATTACACCAATGAAATGATAAGATGAAATTTGACCCGTTCTTTATAATAAAATAGGATTAGACTCCGCCGTCATCTATGTCCATGACATGCTGTCATAATTCCACTCCTTTCGATGATTTTTCTCCCCCCCCCCTCTCCTCGCCACCTCCCCAAACAAGTTCTGTTTGTTTTAATTGCAGCATTTGCAGCCCCTTATAGTGCATATCAGAAGTGCTGAAGACTAAGTGACGACTAGTTTTCGTTGTATAACTAGACCCTACTCTAGAGAATGCAATGAAATCACTAAAAGTGCAAGCAATAAAACTTTGCACGCTTTGCAAAGTGGTGAAATTACGGTAGAAAAACGGTCAGAGAGCGTTATAATGGAGCATGAAAAGCGCAATATAATAAATAGCTTTGAAATTGATGGATTTATGGTTCGTCCCTCTCTTTTTTACCCTTTAGAAATTATATTATTACAGCTATGAATGCCGTCAGAACTTTAACGGAACTATTCGAATGTGCAGTGTTGGATGCATTCATAATGGTCAACATTACAAAGTTGGAGAACAGTGGCCGGTTAGTGATTGAACATTTCTAGATGGGACCACTTAGCATTCCTTACCATACCCTATGGAGTATTATTTAGGACGGTGATTTCGTGTACTACTGTAAGAGCAATGGTGGACGTTGCCGTAAAGTTTGCATCGGTTGTCAACATCGTAGCAAACGTCTTTATGACGGGGACCGTTACTCCGAGGGAGGTTCCGTATACCAGTGTGAGGTAAGGGTTCTTGAAAATATTTGTTTTAAGGTCTTCAACACTAAGTTCTGCAATTACAGATTCGCCCAGACTCTTATGGACACAAACCAGTAGGATGCGTATCATACGAGCCTGATGGATCCAGAATTGAGCGTAACATCGGTTGCCGATGGTAAGTAGCCATTTCTTCTGAACAAAGTTCGGCGGAAGTTCCGAAGTCGAAATGCCCACCAATGTCAAGGTTCCCGGAAGTTGCGAAGCCGAAATTTCCGCTCAAGCTAAATTCTTCGCAACTTTTGGAAGTACTTGACCGGACAAAAAAGCTTACCGGAAGTTCCGTTGGAGACTAGCCACGGAGCTAAATTTCCTCGGAACTTCCGAAACATCCAAATCTCTACGAAAGAACTGCTCGGAATTTCTCTGCTCGGAATTTCTGGCACAAAATGCTTTGCGAAAAATTCTCATTCCCCCTTTCTAGGTATTTGCAAACGCCTGACTCAAAAATTGAACAAATTTGCGAGCTAGATGGCACTAAAACGGCAATTCGAACAGTCGGATGCATCTATAGATACAATGTAAGTTTCAAACTTAATTATAAATCCAGATTACACGCTTTATGGTTTCCTTTAGGGATTTGACACCATATTCCTCAACCCTGGACAGTACACAATCTGGGATTTACCGCGTGAACGCAAAGCCGTAGGATTGGCCTGCAAAGTAAGTTGAAACGGGAAAATTTCGCCTAACAAATTTTGATTTCCCATTATTTCAGAAGACCGATAATGGCGCCAAATTAGAGATTTTCGACATTTCAAAGCTTGCTCAAAATACACAAGGATTGACATATAATACACCACGAGGAAAGTAATGCGGCGCTGTGAACAATAGATGCCGATACTTGTTTTCTCATTATTGTTCTGATCATTGTTCTGTTTCTTTGATCTACTTAACGTGTGTCCTGCTTATAGGAACATTATTTTCTTGTTACGTGTATATACATATATATTATATTTTGTTTTGGAAGGATTGTGATGACTACATGCTGCAATAGCAATAAAATTGCATCCGAACAGATCTTTGTGCTACATTTTGCAAAATAGACATTGACAAGATGGGACAACCATTGCACTATTTCCTTCGTGAGATCTTACAAAAGTCTGGCAGGCGCCGCACTTAACCGGTACAGTAGCGGAAGCGGCGCACTAAATGAAAGGCTTTTGGCATTTGGTGTCGCATAGCAAAAATGAACCAGCTTCAGCTTCAGTGATGGAATTCGCAGTAAACGATGTTTTTCCTTTTTCTGCGAAAACAGAAAATCCAGTATGTTACATGTATCTGTTGTTGTCCATCACTCTCATCTATGGCTAGTATGACACTTCGCGTTCAATTTCGCTTACGGGACACCTAATGACAAATGCCCGTCATTTGGGTGCGCCGCTGCCGCTTAGCGGTTTGTGGTTTACAGCTCAAAAGCCGTGTCCCGGCAAAATTTTGTTTTCAGTTACTTCACTCTTTCGAAGCCTTCTCCATGAGGAATCCATATCTAGTCTGTCCAGCGCATGAAAACGTTGATAATGAACTTTTTCCAAAGCTCTCCAGGTCCACATTAGTGGGAAATACGTGTATGTGGGCGGAATCCGGGACGATGGAGGCGGGGCTCGGAATACAAGCGAAACTTTGCCGGGACGCTGCCTTTGAGCATGGCGCCTGCCCGAAAGCGAAGACGAAAGTGTCATGGAAAGACTAAAATTTGAATTTCAAAAATTTCACAAAGAATGCAGTTGGCAAACTTAAACATGGATCATGCACGTGCAAGGAGCTTCTCGCCTACATTCTCAACAAGAAATTTTTTCGAGGTCGAAGGTAGTGCAATAAAAATTCGACGGCTATAAAATATTTTATTGCTGTTAAATCTTATCCCACACAACCTCGATCGCCTAAACGAGAGGCAACAGCGCGGAAATCGCCTTCGGATTGCAACGCCTATTAGGACAGCCCCGCCCATCCAACTATGTATGTGCGCAAGACGACTGCGCAAAAAAGTGGCTATACGAGTTCTGTGGAATTTTGCCTATACGATAGTAGATCCGATATAGATTCCCCCTGAACGGGCGCTGTTACGAGAAAACACCTCCAGAGTTTGGGAAGTCCCGCCCACTGTGATAATCCCGCCTATTGAGACATTTTCAGCACAGTGAACTTTCACTGACACACACAAGTGCAAACAATCAACATCACAATTTATTCATTCATGCATTTTCATCAGATATCATCACAGATACATCGGAGACATCATGACAATCCAGTTCATAGAAATGTTATGAGAACTTGCAAGGATGTTAATAATAGGTGCCTAAAAGGATACATGCCTGACTTAGACTAAAATCAGTACAAACTGAGCAACAGTCATTCCATCCATACAGACAATAGACTCTCTATAATAATTTATAGGGCTCAATTTTATGAAAGCCTATACTATGTATGTCTCAAAATATAAACTAACAAATATAAACCAAATATAAAATATAAACTAACCTACTTGTGGCTCATACAGATGATTTTTACTCATTTTAAATGCTGCCCACAACTCAACGATAGATCAAAAACTCATCAACTTGAGAAATCTTCATATTTGAACTTACGAAGGATCACATATAATTTGACTTTCAGTGCAACTGACTTAGATACCGTGAATATAGAAAGATAAAGAGGGTTGACTATTAGAAGAATAACAAACGGTGCCTAAACAGCATGCGCTTTGAGTGTCATAGTCGAGCTAAAATAGAAAAATTATTTGAATTCATTTTACACCGACAAAAAAACTACATCTGAAAAGATTCGAATGTGGAAAAGATTGAGAGAAAATTGCAGAAAAATGATACTATTAGAAAAGCCCTAGGGGCAAAAAGATCCTAGACATGTTAGTAGCTGCATAGACAAAATAGTGCCATCTTTAGACCCCAAATGAATTTCTTTAAATAATGTATTTTGAAAAGCGCTTAATGATCAAGAACAGAGATTTCGCCCAGGGCCCGGCACGCGTTGGTTTGGAGGTTTTTAGGAAACCAAGTCCCCCATGACTTCGCGAAAATTTACGAAGTCCCTCTCGACGTGAAAATCAGTAAGGAAACCCTTATTCAACTAAAATAGCAACAAAAAAGCGAAAAAAAGCGCATTTTGAGGTATGTAATATAACAAAAAAGCAAAAAGAAAAGAAATTTCGAATCGATTAAAGGCTCTGCCATTGGGTATAGTACCATTTTGATGCTGGGAATGTCGAAAATCTCCTAGGCCAACCAAATCTGTAGCCTCAACAATCCTGCGATGCATTTTCGCCACATATTTCAAAGGACAATGCAAGTGATTGGAACGCGATATCTATCAACGCGTAGAATTATACTACTTTTGACTCAAAAAAGGGGAGAGGCAACGGTGTGATCCGCTCTCTTCACTATATGATAGATTTTTGACCGTTCTAATCGTCTAAATCAAAAAGATCCAAAACTTCTCTCCAATATTTATGCTCCGAACCAACCCAGTTGGTTTGGTAGTTGGTCTAGAAACCAACAAATTCGAGAACGGATATTAGGACACATAAGTTTTGGGAACTTTTTACATAACAGTTTGGAGTATTATTGTATACACATAGCCCAAATTCGGAGCCATGTGATTGTTTGTGCGCTGTAAATAAACAAGCCATTTGATTGTTTGAGTCTTGCATTTGAAATTCGCGCGCTTGCGAAGAACACGTTCAACTCGTGAAACCTGACATGCTCGTCGTGTTTTTTTTTGGCGCTTCCTCCAGGACCTCATAAAAACGATGTCCCCGTTGCTTCTAACTCCAAAAACGAAATCCAGTTTGACCCCAAACCATCGCTGCCGGGCCCTGATTTCGCCACTCATTCCTTTCATGGCCATTTTACCAATATTTTTTTAGACCAATTGTAAGCTCTACTACCGCTCATTCCACCGTTCAAATTGATTGCGAAATTACCACTAGTATTACATCTTGCATCTACCAACTTTACCATAATGGGTTTTTCTAGTAATTAAAACGAATTTTTCTAAATAATCATATAGTTACCTGATATAAAAATCCTTTCCTAGCGCTTTTCAGCGTTTCACTCGTGCGATCGTCCATTCCGTTCCGATCCATTGTCGTTCAAAGTGTAAGCAGGCATATATCTGGATACAATTATTTACGACATATACATTAATCTGAAAATGAAATATAAAACATGTGCCTCACTTGACGGCTCCATCTTTCCCAACAGTTTTCAATAAGGGATTTTTTATGGTTGTATTACGTCCTCCTAAGGAAGTATAGCCCATATCATATAAACTGCAGTAGGGAATACATAATCCGCGCAGTGTTGCCCACACATCGCGATATGACCATGAAAGTATAGGGCAAATTCGTAAGACTCTAGGCCAATCATCGTCGGTCCACTGGACTACCGATCTAAAAAGAAAAAATACTAGATTTGCGGAAAACCGTGTATGAAGTAAAAACATTTGGATTTTTGTATTGAGTAACCATTTAAAAAGAACCAACTATTTGCTGGGTGCTGTGTGAATTATTTTGGTAGGTTGATTTTTTGAACTAATTCAAAAACTCGCAGTTCACAAGGGTAATCACTTTGAATCCAAAAAATGTAAAATTTCTTACTTCATATACTTCCCGCATGGATCACTTGCTCTGCTACCCATCAAAACAGCAACTACTTCCGGTTGTTCGTTTTTCAACTGCGCAAGTCCTGTCTTCAGTGGTCCGGGATACTCGGTCACCACTATGTTATACCTATAAACGACCATTTTCAAGCAATTAACACACTAATATTTCCTGTGGTTATAGTCGCGCGGCTAAGATGGGAATGTGTGCAACTGCAGACATTCGCGCTCGTAGGTGATCTGAGGACGCCGAATGGTAATTGCACAGTTTTTCGAGATTAAACAGCGGATTTGTTAGAAGAAAAACTGTTAATCTACTATTTTTACTGTATAAAATACAAAAGCAGATTCTTACCTATAAATTCATTATTGTGCAATACACACTACCCAGCTAATCGACTAACCTTTTCGCCACATCTATGATGAATTGCGTAGCTTCAGGAAACTGATCCTCGACCATTATATGGAAACCTTGTATGGGCACATCTGATCCATATTTCCTGAAAAGTTTGCGCCAATTGATAGCGTCTAGGCCTCAGCTAAAAATGCTTACTCATCAACAGCTACTCGGAGCAGATGAAGTAATACGGTACAATCTTTGCCTCCATTGAAGGACAACGTGATCTGCTCCAAGCTGGAAAACTACGAGAATCACCGGGAATATGGCCGAATAGATTTAGCCAAACTATGCTTACGGATATTGTTCCAAAGCTTTTCGCAGTACTTCTAAGGCCTCATCAAGAGCGGTAACATAGTCTGGATTACCGTGCCGTTCACGTTCTCGAAAATCATGGAATTTAGTAACAGTGTCGTGCCAAGGTTCGCTATCATAGTGAACGATTGTTCCTTAAAAATAGTTTGCCTCTTTTCAGATAAAGAATGCAAAGCCGGAGGTAAAATAATGCGGCTGCGTCCAGAGCTGTTCACGCCATGCCGTGCCAGCGCCGTTCTAGCACCGTGCCGTGGCTTTGATCAATCGATAAACGGCGCGTGCGCGTGAGTTCACAGCATTAGCACGGCGATGGCACATGAGCAGTTCTGAAGGCTGCCTAATATGGTACACTCACCATCCAAAAGTTTCGAAATACCTTCCACAACAGCATCTCCTGCTTCATTTGATTCACTTTCAACGATCAGCTTTGTTTTGAAGTAACTATAAAGAGTTATCTGATTCCGCTCACGACAAAATTCCAAATTTACCTATTTTTCATAACCGGATACGATCCAATCTCAACAACTCCTTCGTATTCCGAAGCTAAACTTGCCAATTTCTCAGCAAACTTTCTTTCGTCCTCTGATGTGTACAGTGTTTTCGAGTACATAGGTTTCACTGTGGATGATGGGAAAAGCTGATCCTGTAAAACGATAATTATATTATGTCAATTCGCATCAAGTCATTTCTACGCTACAAATAAGCATTCCCGCAGAAATGTTAGCGGAACAGTGTTTTACAGTGTACACCAAAAACTGTGCCAAAAAAAGAGAGAGTTGAAAATGATTTTTGAGAACAAAAAAGAACCGGGACCCACTCTGGGAAATTCCCATTTTTCAATAAAACCCCAACTGTGAGTGATTTTAATCTCATAAAAAACAATCAGAAACCAAGCATATTTGTCCTGAAAAAGCTTTTATCCTCTCTCTCTTCTTCATTCTCTCCCTCCGTCTCTCTTCGTCTCTCTCTTTGCCTCTATCCCTTTTTTTGAATCTTCAATAAACTTTCGAGTAAACCCCTTCATTTTTACATCCGTTGAACTAAACATGATTCAAAGCAAGTTCGCTGCTAAAAAAAGCGCACAACATGCAGATGGAAAATTGAAAAAAAGCTTTCCTTTACAAAGGATTTACTGAAACCAATTTACCATATCAACGCCAGCACAAAGGCTGTGATACATAATAAGTATGAAACAGCAAATTTTTAGACTATCTGCACCACCTGCCAAAAAATTTATCAAGTTATAGAGTGGAAGGGGAGGCAATGAAACGAAAAATCTTCAGATCAAGCCCATTCCAATTTAATTTCAGAAAGGCCTGATTAACGGATAAAAGGACGCTTACTGTCACGTCCTCCTCCTCCTCCCTACCTCAAAAACAATTTCAAAAGCCACTAGAAAGCGCAAATTCTTCCTTAGAAACAAGATAACGATGTATGCTCTAGAAAAGAAAGCAACCAGTACACGAAAAACAACTTGTGAACTAAATTGCCCCTCAGAAAAAGAAGCAAAACAAAAATTTATAACTTGGGATTTTCCAAATTTCAAAATCAGATGTTGCAAGTACTGATCAACTTCGAAAATTAAAATGTGAAACAAGGACTCTTTTTCGTCTGCCGTAGGTCATACCAAACGAGACAAATGATTTTAGTTATACGAGTAATCAGATTTTCGAGAAGTTACCTGAATAAGTTTAATAAGAAAAATTTTTTAGAGGTAGCTACCGCTTGGTCTTTCTAACACAACATCTCTTCGCCCAAAAAATTATTTCCTGCTGACAACCTCTTCTCCGCTTCATCGTCCCCCTCAGAAAGAAATTCGTACCGCACAGCTATAGGCTAACTACAATTTTTGGGAATCGAATTATGCGTCAACAGAAATTTATACGATTACAAAATTGGTTTGATATAGGTATGCTGTGCCAGTCGCCAAAATCTTTTCAGAAAAAAGCAAAAAGTTTTGAGAATTTTTGATTATTCAATTCTTGATCCAGAAATCAAAAAAAAAGAACTCTATCGTCAAGGCTTTTGAAAATTATTATGAAAAAAAGGAAACCTATGATCGGGAGAAAAGAAGGAGTTTTTCTAGGTAGAAGTGAATGAACAGCGGTTACGCAAAGAAGGAGAAAGGTATAAACTGTGGTTGGAAAACGCGCAAAAACGCAAGGTCTATTTTTAACAATTCGAAATTTTGTTAATTCTAAAGATGGCATAATGAGCTTTCATGAACTTCATCTGATCAGAAAAATGCAGAATTTTTTTTATAAAATCCTTCCATACCTTGCGTATTTATTTTGCGGCTAGATAAAGAATTGAATATTGAAAATCTACCTTGAGTTCCACAAACGCTCGTTCACAGAATCTTGGCACACCGGGCAATGAGATGACGTTACTGAGACGAACCACTGGAAAGTTTGATGATTTCCCATCCGATGAACGTGTCCCCCAAAGTAACTGAGCAGAAGCAGGGATCTACCAAGCAGTGGTTAGCAGCAATTTAGACAAAGATAGGAATCCCAAACTTACCGTGCTCAGTTTGTCTACAAATACAGAGTGGTCCTTCGACAGTCCTGCAGACGGAAAATACTTCTCTATCGCTTCAACAATCTCTGATGATTTTCGCATTTTGTCATTGAAGGCTTTAGCCAAACCTAAATTTTAACGATAATTTGATACTGGCCGTGAAAAATGTATAAAATAGGACCTGTATATGTCTTGTCATCGTGTGTTGGACCAACACCACCCGTTGTAAAAACATAATCGTAACGTTGACTGAATTGACGAATTTCATCGCTGATTTCATCGACATTGTCACCGATAGCAGAGATCTATACAATGGAAACTAATTAATTATTACAGATTTCACGAAAAAATTCACAAGAGCAAACAAAGTTGCTTAAGCTAAAGGCTACTTCCAGAAAGGCAGATGCCGCACGCAAGGGAGGCGCTCCGCGTCCGACCGCGTACTAATGACAATTGCCTTGGTCTGGGACTAGTCTTTGTACGTATTGTACTCTTACCTTTTTCACCTGTACACCCAATTCATGAAGTTTCATGCATATGAAATGTGAATTCGTATCCATGGTGGAACCTTTCAGGATTTCATCACCAATCACTAGAATTACAAGATTAAATCTAATTTTTTGAATTTTTTTATCACCTACTTTGTGTTGCTGCACATCTTCGCGAAAAGTGAGATGCTAGTTCGATTGAAAATATTTGCCTACACTTTGCCACTAGCTAATTTGTCAAAAGTTGTGTAATAATATGTTGAGCTTAGCTTTGGTTCAAAAAATTCTGTTTTTTCTCACAATATTGGTTTGATTTTTAGATTTTTCTTTCAAAACGTATCCAACTGTCAGGAGTGATAGACGTTTATACGCTCGTACTAGTCATACTCTACTAATTAAAAGACAATTTTGTTATGTTCTGAAGGATTTGAGCCAAGCACCTTGCTAGTACTCTAGTATGAAAATCACACCCACCGATTAACCCAGCCGTCGGTCTCATTTCGAACCGAGGAAGTCGAAACCAGCGAAGAGTCCTCAAAGATAATGCGTTAAGCATAAGTGCTGGGTTATCGTAGAATTGATGTTGACGTGCGAAGGATAGTGCTGTGATGTGAAGAAGTATCTCTAAGTCAAATGAACTTAGTGCATTTCAATCAAAGAACCAGCTATGGATTTTCTTAGTAGGGCACACTAAACATAGGACAATGTCAACGCACACGCTTGTAAATCAGTTCCAACTCAATCTGGGTTGGAATCGCTCAGATAATCGCCGGGGGCAAGCGGCCATGCGAATTTTGAGCAAGCGGGCACCGGAAAAATAGTTCGCTGATTTTTTGTGGTCCGCTTGCAGAAATTTGGAATAATTTTGGCCAATTTTTAGATGAACGCTCGAAGATCTATCGCGGTTTTTCTATACATAAGTTGCGGCACAGTGGCCGCATTCTCGCGGATTTTCCGCGAGAACATGCAGAATTTTTGGGAGCCGCACGGTCCTTTTTGAAGGACCGCACAGCCCTCAGGTACTTTCCGCTGAAAGAAAGTACCCCAAACTTGGGTAATACAACCATCGATGGCGCCTCTGCCACATAGAGTCTCATCTTTTCTCGGCGTACGCCCGAAACTGCGTAAAAAGAGTCTGAGCGCCTGCTGAAAGTTTGGCCAGCGCTCGCTGAAAGTTGTTTGACGAGCGCTTGCAGAAAATTTTGTATTGATGCCCGCTTGCAGAAAACGCAAATACCGCCCGCTGAAGATTTGGCCACGCCCCGAAATCCTGCTGACCGCCTGCAGAAAAGCGCGAGTTTGCGGACCGCCTGCCCCCGGCGATTATCTGAGGATGTGTCCGCAATATTCATTCTCTACGAAGATCAACCTACTCTTTTCTTGTTAATACATTAAGGTATATCTATATCCTTTGTCATTGTCAATCCTACCGTCTTCAACCTCAATAACTTATAGAAAATTTTGAGCTTTTCTTTGCGACCGATTTTTTGCAAGAAGAAATTTTCTAATAACTTCCAAGTTCCACTTTCTTTGAACCTGGGCATTGTTCGTATTGACAAAGTATTCTGTGCCAAACAGGTTTGTTAGGTGATCTTTATTAATCCAATCGAGGCCTAAGGTTTCGACGCCTTCGTCTTCCTCAGAGGCCTGAAAATGGCTCAAAGTGTCTCTGTAGCTCCACGCCATCAAACACCCTTCCTAATCCTGCTAGTTCTCGACTTTCGCCTGACTTCCCTATTGCAAAAACGTCAGGGCGGAAGATGAACATACCGACAGATCACCACTATGTGAGTTTCCGCACCGGAAATGATGGTCAAGGCGGAAGAATGAAGTATACCATAGATGACCATCGGATGTCATCTACAGATCGCATAATGATATGAAGGGAAGGAAGCCGGAGGTTATGGACAGGCACTCATTTTTGTTGTTCATAGCTGGATTTTTCACTGAAATCCAGAGCCCTTCTAACGCTTTCCTAGCCGAGGTTTCCTTTTCGTAAGTCAAGATTTTACATCTGATATTGAAGTCATTTCCACCATGCGTTTCAATTCTATGCTTGCCCAGAGGTGATAACTGGGTTTTACGCCTTTTATCTGTCAAGTGTTCGTTTATGCGAGTGCCTAATGGTCTTCCTGCCTCTCCAATGTAGAGTCTACAGCTAAGACATTCAATTTGATAAATCATTTCCACTTTAGCACAATCGCCTACTTTACCGTGCGGGCATACTACGCAGCATTGCTTCAACATACAGTATCGGTCATACAATCTATTTCTAACTAACTGCTTTTTGATGTTGTCGTTCGGAATGGACACTATACTTGGGACCGAATCGAATAATTATTCGATCATTCGAATAAATCATTCGAATGCGAATGATTCGAAAAGTCGAATATTCGAAAATCTGAGATTTCGAATAAAATTCGAAAGTCGAATATTCGTAATTTTCAGTTTTCGAATATATTCGATAGTCGAATATTCGAAAATCTTCATTTTCGAATATTATTCGAAAGTCGAATATTCGAAAATCTCAAATTTCGAATATTATTCGATAGTCGAATATTCGAGGGCCATTCATTCGTTCATTCGATGTCCATCAAATATTCGAATATTCGTCGAGCACCGAATATTCGGAAATTCGATAAGAATTGACGATTCGAAAATTCGATAAGCACCGAATATCGAGAATTCGATATGCATAGCGTATACGGGATGTCTTAAAAGTCTATACACCGTTTGATCGCTAATACCTCTCAAAGTCTTTTGCCAATTTCTGGGTAACATCCAGTAGGGATGGCTTCAGCTTATAAATACAGCAGAAAGCGAATCACCCATGTTTTTCTTATTGTGTGTTATCACAGTAGGAAACTCCAGCTTAGAGACCAACTGCAAAATAAAACATCCAAAAAAATTGTCACCAAAATAGATCTAAATCTGTGCAGCAGTGTTATTACGTATGCTGATTTTACTACGCACGAGTTTTCAAAATTTTCAAATGGCAATCACATTTTCGAAAGGCGTTGCAAAACACTTGTTACGGTGTATCGTTTGTTCCACAGCAAATTTCCCATAGGTACAGTCTGCTCCAATTGGGATCGGGCCGAACCTTTGACGTGAATTTGCGCACTCGCTACGCTAGCGGTCTGCGCTGCATATACGCGATGTCTGAGAGAGCAAAAGAATTGAAGAGAGGGCAGAAAAGCAGGCCGTGTGCGTGAGCGCGAAATCCTAATGACGCGGGCTCCGCCATGCCAATTTGGCCTGGTGGGGATTGGTGCAGACTGTAACACGTCATGTCGCTGCCTTTCGCTATTTTGAACGTGTTAACCTCGGGCAGTTCCGTTGAAATCTCAGGAGAAACTGCAAAGAGCGAAAGACAGCGTCGCACCACGTACGCACGCTGGCTCACATGGGAACTTTTCTGGGGGACACAGGATACCGGCGTAAGTTTTGAAAAAAAGCATTACGGTTGAGTGCAAATTCTACATAAACTGAGTGTCTTTAGAAAACTAAAACAAGGCTTTCAGTTCTTTTAAATCTTTTCCTTCGAGAAATGGCTCTGGGTGGCAAATGGGTTTTGAAACCTGCTTCAGACTTACGGTAGTTTTACAACAGTGAAAAGTGATTGATAAATCGCCCCATACTCTAAGTTGATGTCAGCCTACAGATCCACATACTGTTGGGACCGCTGTATATCCAATCGCAACTCTCAGTGAGGGTGTATATTCTTCATTGAAGTACGAAAAATCTTTTCACAACCGTCACAGGAGTTGCTTTTAGGTTCTTAAGTCTCTTCACGTCACGACTAAACAGTTTTTCCATCGTACTAATGTACCATAAGAATGAGTCCATTCTTACGAGGGAAGGATACTGGTGACCGTGGCCTTTTGCGATGAGATGCATACTAGTAGGTGCGTCTTGGAACGCTGATTCTAATTCTATGTTTACTATCTGCTGTGAGACTCCCTGAACGAAGTTATGGACTTTTTTCTATATTGATTTTGCAAGATTTAGGCAGTCAAAATCGTCAGTATCCAGGCTTTTCAGGTTCTGATGTATCGTTGACAGTTTCCTTGAGCTTAACGCGAAGCTTCACTTTATCTGTCCGCTCTTTTATACTGCGTAAGCGAATATTCTAACGATATTGGTGAGTCCTGCATCAAAAACAGTGCAAATTTTGGTGACAAAAAATATTCATAACATCTTTCGGAGGAGCGCACAGCAGATAATGAAGACAGATTTGTAATCAGCGCTTCAAGGTGCATTTAATGGTGTACGTTTCATTTCAAAAGGCCACGGTCATCAAGTATCCTTTCCTTGTTAGCACTTACATGAAACAATTTATTCTTAGTGTTCTGGCCTTTGATAGGCAGTGTCAGTGACGTAAATTATTCGGCAGTATTCGAAAATCGAACGATATTCGAAAATAGAATAACATTCGAGAACCGAATAATATTCGAAATTCGAATAACGAGTGATATTCGATATTCGAATGTTATTCGATTCGAAATTTTCCTTTTCGAATAATATTCGATAGTCGAATATTCGAAATTTCCGATTTTCGAATAATATTCGAAAGTCGAATATTCGAAATTTTCAATTTTCGAATAATATTCGATAGTCGAATATTCGAGAATTTCGATTTTCGATTATTATTCGATATTCGAATATTCGAAATTTCCAATTTTCGAATATATTCGATATTCGAATATTCGAAAAAAATTTCGAATTTCCCCAAGTATAATGGACACTAAAGCAACATCATCTTGCAGTTTTGCGCGTTGTATGCATTTTCGAAAAGCCGCATTGACGCTATCAGAGATAAACGGAAGGCATAGTGGAAGCTTATTATCGTTATGAATGTTGTTACCATTTCTAAGGGATCGGTCAGAGTTTGCCGGTGTTGCAAGTGTTGCCGGTGTTGAAAGTGTTGACGGTGTTGAAAGTGTTGACGGTGTTGAAAGTGTTGACGGTGTTGCAAGTGTTGACGGTGTTGCAAGTGTTGACGGTGTTGAAAATGTTGAAGGGAGATCATCAGTCTAGCAGTTTCATTCTTTCTCGAACGATCTCACCGGCTGGTGAATATGTTGGAAATGGAATTGGGGAATGAGAAATGAAATTGAAATGATGGGAGATTTTCGCATGCAAAAGATCCCCTAACAAGCTTTTTGGAAAGTGGACGGCTTGTCTGGAATAGGCAATCTCCAATATTTGAGAAAGCTGACGTCTGAGCAGTAACGTGTTTTAGTTCGAATCCTGCTGCGCTTGCGATTAGTGAATAAACGACCTAATTGAGGTCTGCAGCGTTTTCAAATACTGGAGATTGCCTATTCCAGACAAGCCGTCCACTTTCCAAAAAGCTTGTTAGGGGATCTTTTGCATGCGAAAATCTCCCATCATTTCAATTTCATTTCTCATTCCCCAATTCCATTTCCAACATATTCACCAGCCGGTGAGATCGTTCGAGAAAGAATGAAACTGCTAAACTGGTGATCTCCGTTCAACACTTTCAACACCGTCAACACTTGCAACACCGTCAACACTTGCAACACCGTCAACACTTGCAACACCGTCAACACTTTCAACACCGTCAACACTTGCAACACCGTCAACACTTTCAACACCGGCA